CTGGCTTTGTCTTTTGTAGATGCCTTCCTTTCTCATTACACTGTTAAATGCTCCAAACTTCAGAATACCCATAATTTAAACCCTGATTTCTCCTTTTTCTTCTTCTCCCCTTCCCCTTTCCTTTTTCCCTTTTTTCTCTTGTCTTTCTTCTGCCTTGTGTATTTGTTCCTTCATTATTTATTTATTTTATTCTCCCCCCCTCTGTGGGCACCTAGCTCCCTTGCAGGGGTCCTCTTTCTTAGTTTTTGACGGCTCCTCCTCCTCCTTATTAACCTTCCCCCACTACTACCCTTCTACCTCCCAAACTACAACTACTACTACTACCACCACCACTCCTGCCTATATATACCCCTCCTCTCCTTTTCGTTAGTGTGACTTTGTAAATGGTCCAAATTGGACTGAAACGCTGTCGTAAGCTCCTCTCTTCTATGTGTGGGTTATTTGTGTATTGTTCCATCAGGGTATTGTGCCTTTTCTTGTTATTTAGTAGGTCTGATGTCTGCAGCTATAGGCCTGTTAGTATACTCAGTGTAAATCCAAAATTCTAAGAGGGCAGTGTACTGCCAAGTAGTTAAGTATCTAAATGACAACAACATTCTTCATGCCAATCTGATGGATTACATGAGAACTAAAAGTCAATAGGGAACCTCATAGGAATGGTAACCCTAGACTTGCAAAAGGCCTTTGATACTGTCAACCACAATATATTATGTATGAAAGAAACTTCAAGCTATCTGCATAGGTTCCATACACTAGTTTAAGTCCTATCTTAGCAATAGGAAACGAATTGTCAAAATCAACAAGACGAATAAAACCCTCCCAAATAGCATGTGGATTTCCCCCAAAGGGTAGTATTCTGGGTCCCTTATTATTTCTGTTATGTAAACAACATACCCTTCAGTGCCCAAGTGCAAACTTAACACTTCATTTTTTTTTTTTTAAATTTGGGCGACCCTGAGAACAAGTCTGGGAGAGAGTCTGGGGACCCTGAAAGGGCTAATGAACAGAGAAAATGCTGTTTTTGTGCCAGGAATATCTACAGGGTTTATTTGGAACTCCTAATTTTAAGCTGTTATTTTTTAATTATGTGTATTCACGGGGTAGTTAAAATAGTATAACTGGCAGTTTCTTGTATTTGGGACAGAATGGATATCCCTTTACCTTTGATGAGTTTCAAGAGCCTTTCTACTCCTGGAGCTCGACCATGGGCCAGGTTTATTTTGTGCTAGCCTAGTCAACCAGGTTGTTGCTGCTGGAGGCCTGCTGCCAAACATATCCATCACAGCCTGGTTGATCTGGTACCTGGGAAGATACTTGTCCATTTTTTCCTCTTCAACATTTCTACACTTGTTCCAGCATGAAATACTAAGAATTAGCTAATGCAGTTTTTCAAAGTGCAATCTTACTTCACCAGTGAAAAGACATTCCATTGCAACACTAATCCCAGCACTACTTACTCATAAGATCACTATATTTTTATGTGTCAAGTACCAAAACACCTTGAAACACAACTATGTAATATTATATAAGAAACAACAGTATATAGTACTAGACACTGAAAAAAAAATTGAAAATGACATCAAAATTTGGCATCAAAAAACTGTAAAACATAAGTGCTGCTGTGTGCATTTATGCCACTTTTGTTATCGAGTGTCTTTTTTTTTCAAGTTTCACACCATAAAAGTATTAATGTTCTTTTGATTACAGTTTTCTTTTTGTAATTCTATTCAGAAAAAATATCCTCTTTTCAACATTTTGTTCTCAAAATTTCCCTATACGGGTGGCAATTAGCAATGCATAACCTCCACATCTGAAGGATTAAATACATCTGTTATTTACTGACAATCTACTATTTTTTCCCCCTTTTATCTGTTATTCTTTCATTTCCACCTTTGGTATCCTCACTTTTTTTTTACTTCGATAGTTTACTTTCTGTTACGAGTATGGCCATCCCTTTTTATTTTATAATAGGATACACCCCCTTATTTACAATAAACATTTTAAAGGCTAATATTAAGCTAAAAAAACTTAGCTGAACTATCAATTCAGAGTATGCCAGAACTCGTAAGTGACGGACTTAGTCTCTTTCCCCATCCAGCATGACTAGAAGAGCATAGCCCAAACAAATTAACCCACATGTCAACAAGGCTTGTTCAGTCAACTGAAAGATTAATTTGCTAGAGTATAAATAACTCGAAAGTGACAAGCTTAAGAAAGGAGTCGAGTATGAAAGAAAAACGACCACCAGAGAAAACTTGACATGTCTCTTATGAGAGGTCAGTGATTAACTGAGTGAGATATGCCCCTTGGCTATGCAAGCCCGACTAGAAGTGAGAGTGCTAGTCAGAGTGAGTGTGAAGGACCTACGCTAACCGAGTGCTGTAAAGCTACTCAGAGCAAGGGTGGTAAACCCTACTCTGAGCAAGTGCTGTGAACCTACTTCTAGTCCAGGCTTGCATAGCCAAGGGAGCATATCTCACTCAGTTAATAATTGATCTCTCTAAGAGACATGTCAAGTTTTCTCTGGTGGTCGTTTTTTCTTTCATACTCGACCCCCTTTTTCTTAAGCTTGTCGCTTTCGAGTTATTTATACTCTAGCGAATTAATCTTTCAGTTGACTGAACAAGCCTTGTTTGGCCTTGTGGGTTAATTTGTGGTCTATGCCTTCTAAGTCATGCTGGATGGGAATGAGACTTACGAGTTCTGGCATATTCTGAATTGATAGTTCAGCTAAGTCTTTATTAGCATTAATATTAGCCTTAACATGTATATTATAAAATAAAGGGGCATATCCTATTAAAAAATAAAACGGTATGGCCATAATCGTAACACTTCCATACTTGTCATGTGTAGCAATTGTCATGTCGCCCCCCATTCTTTGATATTTTTTTTTATTCTACCCACGCCTCATGCACTTTCCCTGCACTCACATCAGACTTTTCCTTTACTACTTTTTCCCTTTCAACGCACTGGCCATATCCCACTTAGGCAGGGTGACCCAAAAAGAAAAACAAAAGTTTCTCTTCATAACTTAAGTAATATGTAAGGAGAAGAGGTTATTAACCCCCTGCTCCTTCCTTACTACTAAGATATTTTTTCCCTCCATCCCCAAATTTGCATGAAAAAAACTGCCCCCCTTTTTTTCATCAACATATAAACAGTTGAAAATAGTTGATTAACAAAAGTTCTGTAGGTATGTTAGTTGTACTCCCTCAGTAGCTTCTAGCTCACATTCAAAGTTTGCTAATCTGTGATTTTTTTTTCCTGCTCTTGCCCATTATCTGCAACACATATATGTATTGTACACTGTCATTATGTATGCCCTATAAGATCTTGGAACCATGATGTTTCATTCAAACAGTGGAATAACAGTATCAGCAATTTTGGCACAATGATCTGCAGCATGAAATATGCTATTACATCTCACATACATATAGTATATAGTACTGTTTTTATGTATATTGGATGACTAATACTGTGGGTACGTTGATCATTAGGGTCTGCAATGTTCCCCTCTTTTCCACATTATAGTCAAATCTACTGTAAAACTTCCATGTTTACCACTCACAAGTATTAAGGAGTGCATTAAAGGCTGATCAGAAACAATTCTACAACCTTTCTAAGTAGATATATAACAGAGCATTTTACTAGAAAATGAGTGGGATAAATCATGCTCAAAAAACACTATTTAATTAAAAAAATCAATTTTTAAGAGAAAGATACCAGTCCATAGGATTTTGGACTAATTAACTACAACTGTATTAGTTTTCTAAAATAAAAAATTTTACTGCTAGTCTATCAAGATGTCCTTCTGCTAACTCTAACCAACAGCATTTTCACATTACAGAAGCAATTCACAAGTCAGGGTATCAACATAAGGTAACTCAATAAATTTCTCACAAAAACATATCAGCAAGAATAATGTCTCAAGTCATGACCAAGCTAGACTATTATCCCACACACCACCTCTTGTTCCATACAGCCGGGCCAGATTTTCCTATTCTCTCCATCGATTTTTTTACCTCTGCCATACAGTGCAGTACAGCCCATATGAATACAGCTACGTCACTGAATACAATAAAAACTATAACAGTAATCCATACAGGCAGAGGGAGAACCAGTACATGTGTGACTTTTTGATTAATCACATATTAATCACACGTATGACTTAACCAAAAATATAAGAATATTTACATCAAAGTCTTTGGGATACAACTGTAAAATTACGGGACAATTAATGCTAATATACTGCAATAAACCCTACAGCTTAATACATGAAAAAGATGTCTGTCACACTTATAAAAAGAATACATTATAATACAGTGGACCCCCGGTTAACGATATTTTTTCATTCCAGAAGTATGTTCAGGTGCCAGTACTGACCGAGTTTGTTCCCCAAAAGGGAAAATTGTGAAAATAGATTAGTCCATTTCAGACCCCCAAACATACACATACAACGCACTTACATAAATACACTTACATAAATTTGGGCGCATTGGGAGGTGATCGTTAAGCGGGGTCCACTGTAAAATATAAAAAATTTTTTCCATCTGGAATTTTTTTTTTTTACCCCACCGGCCATCTCCCACCGAGGGAGGGGAAGTAACATTAAAAACTGTATTCTATTAAAATAAGAATATAGAGGAGAGCTTTAAACTCCTTTTATGCAATATTAGTAAATTTTACTGTTTTTCTTTTCTAATTCAGAAAGCACTGCAAGTAATATTTACATACTAAATACGTACAGGTATTTCTGTTTATCTAACATGATGTTCATACAATGTTGATACTTTATCCATTGTAAACATTAGTCACGAGTCTGAAACTCCTAATTTGCAACACAAATTTCGTGAAAGCTTATCACTAAATTTTTATTTAGTTTATTCAGTTTTCGTTAAGGGTTTTGCCAAATAAATATGGAATGTTTTTTTGAAATAAATCTTACCTGTAAAAATTTCCATTCTTCAATGACAAGAATATCTCTGAAAACCTGAAACCCACTACTGAGCTTCCAGGTAAGGACGGTAGCCCAGGTATCGATAAAGGAAGCGGTGGGCTGGAGGTGGGCGTGTTTTGGTTTGATCCACTGCGAGAGGTGAGGTTGTGAATGTCTCCGATGCTATTTTCATTCACATTACTGAACCATGTATCTGAGGCTTGCTGAAATGATATACTGGACAGAGAAATACAGTGGTTTTGTATTATGGAACACATACAGTTACACTAAATATGTTACAGCACAATATATTTTTTTTAATTTATTTCTTTTTAATAAGTACAGGTCCTCCATCACAAATCGGCATCACTGGGACCTGTAGTGTGCTAGATTACTGAGTCTGCCGGATTCCAGAGTGGTTAGGTTAGGATTACACTTAATAAAATTAACCAACTTGACTTACACAAGAAAGTTCATCGAACGTGGGCAAAAATCGAACATTTCCACTTTGAGCTCAATTTCAAGGTATGGTACTTTTTATCGTGAAAACAATCGAAATCATATTTGTTTCTATAATACTTCTTCCATTCTATCAAAAAGAGACCAAAAAAACGAGAATACAACCATAAAAAAACACGAAAATATACCGCAAAGAGGCGGCTAATGGCTGAGAAGTGAACTCCCTTATTTATCATCCGTTTTTAAATTTTTTGGGGTACGTTAACCCTTTCAGGGTCCATGCCATGATCTATGGCTTTACGTTGAGGGTCCAAACCGTAGATCTACGCCATGAGCTCAACTCACTCTGATAAGCTGTGAGCGGTAAATTTGGGCCCAGATATGAGAGAATACATCTATGTGGTATGTGGTCACCACATAAAAAAAATCCTGCAGCACAGTGCATAATGAGAGAAAAAATGAGACCCCTAATTTTCGATTAAAAAAGCAACTTTGCAGTGTTATTTCGTATGTTTTTCATAGTTGTATTTTTGATTTCTTGGTCTCATTCGTAGAATGGAAGGTATATTACAGAAATAAGATGATTTTTATTGGTTTTATTACTGAAACTGAGCTCAATGTAGCGTTCCCAGTTCTAATGACCAGAGCTTTGGTAAGATGGGGAAGGATGGAAATATTGGAAAAAAGGGGTTTGGAGGGGGGGGGGGGAGGTTTGGATATAAAAGGTAAGTGGCCCAACCACTTTGGTGTAATTTTAAAAAATGTATGTGAATTGATAAGAATTCTTTAAGGGGGTTAATACTAACCCCTCAGAGTCACATAGAATAATAGGTATATAAAATACATGACTCTGAATTGGTAGTAGTTTTTACAAGTTGCAACTGCTTTTTTTTTTTTTTTTTTTTTTTTTTTTTGGCGATTGTACAACGGATATTTATACGACAAGAAAGGCAATAATTTTCTGGCCAGTTTATAAGCTCGTGACAATAGCTTCTTAATGGTGGTGTCCAACAATAGTCAATAGCATAATTTTACATTAGAAAGTTAAATTTTAAGGTGCTCCCTAATTTGGGGGGGATGATTTTCTCAGTATACATAGAAGGGTTTTTGGTGGTATCCAATCTTCTTCGTCAGGTAAGTTGCTCAAAATTATGGTCGAGGGTAATCATCTTTTTGAATAAAACGACGAACCCTCTGTGGGAGAGTCATTCTTTGAGTCCTGTGAGCGGAGTATTGATGGTGTAATCGGTGGTATTTATCACTTGTATAGGATGTTCTCTATCTGGCAGTACAGTTCTTGCATTGTAAAAGTTGTTTTTTTTTTTAGGGTGTCAAGGCGTACATTTATGGCAGTAATATCTTGTGGTGTGTAAATCTCCATTTTAACTCTGTCTCTCCCTCCTGGTATCGGTAATAAAGCGAAGAGCCTATTCTGGACCCTTTGTAACCGTAGCATGTTGGTCTTTGTTGTTATGACATTGGGACACAAGGGTATTCAAGTATAGGTCTTATTATCATTTTATACAGATTTTTTTGACATGTTGAGGGGCTTGATTGAATCGAAAGAGTCTGCAAAAACCGGCTTTGGCTGTGTTGATCTTTTTTGTTACATGAGATGTTGAGTGGAGCAGCCTGTCTATTTCATATCCCAAGATCTTTTTAGGGTTTCTAAAGGCTACAGGTGAACCTCTGATGGAGATACCCCTTTATCTTCATGGTTGATGCAAAACATCCTATCGTGCTAACAAGGACCTTGTCAGATTAGTCGTAATTCTCCATTTCTTCTCCCAATTAGATTTCGACAAGTTCAAATTCATTTTTCTATGAAATCTCTCATACTTTTATTTTCCCGTTACTGGAGTTGATGAGACACATGAAAAACACATCTGCAAACTGTGTCCCCATTTTGTCATTAAACTCTGGTTGAGGAAGGTCATCACATAAATGTTAACAGAAGTGGACTGAGACAAGAAACCTTGTGGGACACCAGCCGTCGGTATAAAAGGTTCGTCGACTTGCCATGAAAGGTGGAATGATTTTTCTTTGAGTTAAGAAATTATAAATTACTCTGAAAAAGTCCAGTTATGGTCTGGTAGTTTAATGAGTTTTTTATATAAGGCCATCATGCCATAAGCTATCAAAAGCTTTATGAACATCTCTGGTGGCAATTAAGGCAAGATTGCCCTGCTGTTTTAGACTTGCTACATGTCAAAAATAACATTTATTGCATGATTGGTACCTCTATGTGTTTCTAAAGCCAAATTGTTTTTCAGTAAACAAGTGATTAAACTCCATATAGTAATTCAATCTGTTGAAATGACTTTCTCAAGAACTTTCCAGTGACTTCAAGTAAAGATATAGGTCTATAGTTCCCAGGTTGGTGGATGTCTTATTGGGCTTAGCAAGAAAGATCATCCTAGAGCTTAAAAACAACTGGAAAATGTCCTGAGGCCAAGATGGCTTAAAGATATTTACCAAGGACTGTTTGCAATTTCTAGGTAGGTACTTATTTGTTTCATTGTTATTCCAGAGAGGCCGGGGCTCTATTTCTCATTCTTCCAATAACCTGACTTATCTCTAGTAATGTAAAGGTCTAGTAAGCGGGTGGGGATCTTCAAGAGTTGAAGTACGATGGTAGGGAGTGGTTGTAGATCATCCAAGTTCTCATTTTCTCCATTCATTTACTAACTGATAAAAGATTTATTAAATTGACGACTGTTATTGTGAGAGAGAATTTTCTCCCAACATCACCCATCAAATTAGCCTGGTCCTGTGGATCGTCAAATTTAATTTCAACATCTTCATCATCCTCATCATGAAGGTATGAACTAGGTAGTTAGGAACCTTGTGCTTTCCCCTAAAAGTTTGTCGGATCTTACTCCAAAATTTCTGGTTCACGTTTATATTGATTAGCTTGAAGAACTAGAAATTTCCATATGTCTCGTTTGTGTTGACTAATCATGTTAATTAATTCGGCCTTAATCGGTGCAGTGGTAGCTGCTGGTGGTTGTCGCGTTTGAAGATGCCCTTCGACATTCTGCTTGATAATTTCTTAAAGTGTCTCTAATTTCTCTAGTAGGTTTAAAATTGTTGGTTTTATCTTTGTGGAAGCTAATTGGCAAGTTGCATTGGTAGCTTCAATTATTCGATTGTGCAGGGACCTGATTGCATCATCAATTGGCAGTGGAAGGTAGATTTCCAAAGACACAATTTCATCCTCACCCAGATATGCCCTGAAGGGGTCAAATCCTAGGGTGTTAAATTGGGTTTAGAGGTTTCAGGTATTTTAAATGGAGAAGTTTGTAGTTGTATTAACAGGGATATGGTCAGATCCTACATTTCCACCAGGAGATATACGACAGTGAAAGATGTCACAGTCTCTGTTTGTCAGTACTATATCTGGTGTTCCTGGATGAGGTCCAATGTACGATTTGAAGAATGGGCCTTGAAATGACAATTTTTTAGCTGTCATGATATTAAAGAGTTGTTTTCCTTTAAGTCACCCAGTGGAATACCAGCTCCCAGTTAAAGAGGGCAGGGGAGACATTAAAAAACTCCAGCTAGAATTTGAATATTTTGCTTAATATCCTATGTAGAGGAATTGACTCTATAATGGCTTGTTCGGGGAAAATATCAGTTCTATACTAGTTTTTCCATGCGACGTTGTTAGTCTATTTTCAAAATGATCTTTTCAATATGAATTGGGAATTTTAAATGTATATCCTAATTTAACCAAGATGGTACACACTAAAGGGTCCCCTCGATTCTCCCTACAGTTCCACGTAATTTTAAAATGTTGATCAACTCTTGCAGCTTCGTTCAAAAGTTTCTGTAAAATTTGGGGTTGGTAAGTTATGTAGTTAACTCAAGAAGTAACGTTTAAAGAATGTTGAACATTAAATTGGAAAAGGAATCCCCTTTTTCTTTTCTTCGCCGTACACTGCGTTCTGAATGCCTGACTAATTCATGTGTTTTTATCTACACTATCCCGCTGGACTCGTCAAGGGGAGGAGGGAACTTTTGCATGGATCTGTGATTAAAATGCCATCAAACTTCACTACAGGTAGTAATATTAACAGACTCATTAGAATCGTTAGAGTCGTTAGAGTCATCATCATAAAACTGAGTTGTGCTATTCTCAGTTTCAGGAAGCAGAGGCTCGTGAGAGTTAATGGGAGACTGTGTAGGCTCCAAGGGAATATTAGATAGGCAAGGTGAGTTACCTTGGGAAAGTTCCTGTTCAACAGGATCAGCTACAATAGCGAGAGAGTAGGCACCACTTTCTGGGGCATTGTTATGTTCAGGTGTTGACTTATCGGGTTGAGAGGAGTTGACAACCTGGGTTTGTGAGGAGGGCGATCCCTGGGCCAGGGATGACTTAGGCTTATTTTTAGATGTAGAGTATGGTACATACTTCTTGTTATGAGAAGGCTGGGTCATAATAGCCTTCACATTTTCAGGGATAGTGATGGGAGTGATCCCATTATCCATTAACAGATCATTTAAAACCTGAGAGCAGAGTTGAATGTCACCACCTGCTATGTCTTTGGCCAACAAGTACATTAGTTGTGCTCTCGTTATATCCCCGTCTGTGGATACCTGAGACATATGAGATGCGACTGAACCTTGTTGTTGTGTCTGTTGTAAGTGAGGGTTAGATTGGGGTGCTCCAAGAGGGGCAGAATTCCAAACATTGGAACCATTGGTAGAGACCTGAGGAGTCCCACTTGATCCAGGCAGAGCTGGGAAGGAAGCTTGGGACATGGTTGGTGGTGCCT